ACAATCGTTAGAAATTCAATCATACCTGTCTTACTAGCGTTCCCGTATTCTGATGAGCCTGCTGCTGTAGGTTTTCTTTCTGCTTGCCAAGTTGTTAATGATTGTACTAACTCTGTTATTGTGTTATTTAAATTGCCAGCCAAAGTAACTGGTACATATCCGACTCCTTCGCCAGTCTTGCAATTAAATTCGATTATTTCCGAAACGCTTGATGCAGAAGGATGCCATTGCATTTGTAACAATACATTGATATTAGCTGCCATAACATCGCGTACTTGCTTATAAGGATGACGAATGTTCGAAAAATATATATCGAATAATGACTGTGATCTTGGTATAACACGCCATGAAAAAGTATTAATGAGAGTATTTACGAAAAAGAGCTTTTTGGCCTCTGCAAAAGAAGCATGAGAAGTAGGATCAAGTTTTGAGTCTAAAACTAAGTTAATAAGTGGAAGTACTCGTCTAGGATCTCGATTCCGCTATTAATCACGCAGAAATACACAATAAATAAGTATAAATAATCAAATATTTTTACAATTGGTGCTCGTAAGAAAGTTGACTTACGAAGCAATATCCAAGGAATCGTTCCCAATACACAAGAGAATCTGGTGTAATGGAATTAAAAGTTTGCTCTAGCACAGGAATCACCCAATCCCACAAAGCCTGCAATTTGCTCCATTTCCAATGTTTGCTTCCTCTTATTAGACCCGCTAAAATTTCTGATGCTGCACGCTGCTGATTTTTCTCCGCGGATTCGCATAACTTTGCAATTTCTGGCTTAGCGACTTCCAGGAAAGTGTCTTCATACATTTGAAAAATGCTTTTAAATAAATGTGCATTGATCATCGAGAAGTTATCTTCTCTATCGCGAACAAATTCTTGTGATAGATAAGATAATAAGGATGACCAAAAAGTTGATGAATTAAATCTTTCAAGAAACTTGTTGAATGCGGCTTGAGAAGATAACTCACAACTGGGCATAACGCTTGACACAGTGCATGGTGAATACGCAGAAGTATTGTCAGGCCAAACATACCAACCGACATTGACCTTATCTTGAAATAATCTATTTGCCAATAATTATAAAGTATTAATTATCTAACGAATAATGTGTACCAATATGGAAATGCCTTTTAATCATACATACACATTTTCTGCGTTATTTTCGTTAACTTTAGTCAAACATGTTGTTAAATATTCATTAGTATATCCTTCTGGTAAAGGTCTAGGTATTGTGATGGTCTTTTTTAAAGGATTATTAGCTTTTTCTAATGCTATTAACTCTAAGTCACCATTGGTAAGTGTTCGTTGTTTAATATGAAATAATATTCGGGTAGTTGTAGAAATAGCAATGCGCCTCAGTGCAGGAAGCTCAGAAACAAGACCTTTTGCTGCAAATTCTGCCATTTCTGGAGAAGCTGGTGCTTCCGGCCGTACTAAAAGATCCAGAAAATTTGCAGCCATAGACGCAAACCGCCAATGAAGAGTATTAGATTTAACCAAATTTAAAAGAGTATCGACCTACATAAATTAGAGAAAAAGTCAATTTTACGTTTAATATTTAATAACGTATCCATTGACTCACAAGTTCAAAATAGTTTTTCTTCTGTAAAGACATTCTGTGCTCGGTTTTGCTTCGAATTTTATCGAAGATACTTTTATCCAATGAAAGGGAAAGGGTATCAAGTGTTCGACATATTGCATCATTTAATCCATCTGTAAGAATTGTTTTGAACGCCGTATTATTATAATTCATGAGATAATCGTAAAAGACTTTACGTATCATTTCTTGGACTGAAGGCTGCAATGAATGCAAAATAACGAATCAGTAAAATTAATAGATATTGTTATATGCATTTACAACTAACCTTGTCGTCGTGTTGAGCTTGGCATATGCGGCTTATGAACGATGGGACAAACCTCCAATCCCTTAAACATGTGTACATATATGTCCGAGAACTTAATAAATAGAGGGCGCCTTTCATTCTTTCGGAATTCGGCTTATCTATAAAAAAAAACTAAAGAAGTTATAAATGCAAAATCATTATTATTTAAGCTTACATGTTTATAAACAATAAAGATTACCGGTTGGTTTCAAAGCGCTCAACAAAATAGGAATAATAAGAGGCTTCGCATCAATGAAACAACGAGACGCGTTTGAAAGATGGGATTGCGCTATTCTAAAATTATAACAAGTGAACTACATGAAGGCAAAGTCATATATATGCTAAATAACAAAAACAATGTATTAATCATACTTTCTAATCTCCGAGTATGAGCTTAAAGACAATTCGACCAAATCTTTGAGCAAATCATCATGTAACCGAGTTCTCTCTCTGCCAAATGCATTTTGTTTCAAACGACATAAATGTTGCTGATATGCTCGCTTAACTATAAATTTAATAAAGTTTTTAGACTAATGATAAATAATGTTAACGGTCATATTTTGTTTATATGTAAATTACCTAGTAAATAACGTGGATATTTTTTGTCATGGTTAGAAGTTTTCAACATGCCTTTAGCATATTGATAACCTCTTTTACTTGCATCGTACTTTGATTTTTCTACACCACGGTCCGTGAGATATATTTTTATAATCTATACATAAAAATATATTCTAAATATAGAATTGATTTAATTATATAATAAAGCAAAGCATTAAATTCACTGACCTTGAGGAGGATTTTCAAACTATCAACATCATCTTCACGTGTCGTTCGGAAATATGTCACTAATTTATGAAGAAATTCACCTAATTCTTTCCGCAATCGTCTTGCAGTCTGTCTACGTGGATCATTCGGATCTAAAAAACAATAACCCACTGGAATACTTTTTATCGGAAGAACAGCTTCAGTCTCACAATCTCTAAAATGTCAAAATCTGGTTCAATAATTGTATTCCTTAATTCGTTGTCAAGATATCAGCTTCAAAATTACTTGTAATCAGAGATCTCAACGTCACCGTCATCCTCGACAAGTGTAGTCATTCCTCCAACGCAATTTCGAACTATACTCAAACGACGACAAAACTCATGTGTCATTTCTCGATTGCTCAATACTTTCCCTTCCTCATCCGTTCCACTATTCATTAAATCCTGAATTCTTTTTAAAGTCGGTAATAAAAATATTTCCAAAATTTCCATTGCGAAATCCAATTCAGGGTTAGAAGGAACATGCCAATCAACATTTATATTTTCTGGGTCGCCTGGCTGAACCCAATGTTTGTGTTGGTTTTTCTGATATTCTGTTATTTATACGATTAATCAATCTAAAAGTTTAATCGTTTCAAATTTCAGTCACAATAAATTATTTACCTTCAGAATTCCATCGTTCTTTGTCAACACTCCGACATTCTAAAGGATAAATTTGTGTCAGTGCGACTAGCATCATTCTTATAAATTTTCCAGTCCACATATATCCTTTCCGAGAACGACACTTTTGCACCATTTCTTTTGCCAAATACAACAAGTCATTTTTATGACGAAGCAGTTCAGATCCGCTTAGCATGATAACATGATACAGAATACATTGATACCAATGGAGTGTAGCATCCGACTGTATATGATGTGTTGGAGAGGTAGTGGGAGTAGATGATGCACCATGTTGAAGCTCAATGATAATATTTGTGCGGCAAAGAGGGATAAACTGGGCAAGTGCCTTGCATCTATTTGGACTTGTAAGAGTAGAGCATAAGTATCCTAGAATGTTTGAAAAAAAACGAATAGTTAAAAAAGTTAATAATCCGCAGCTTACATTATATATAGGTTTAAAATTATCCAACAACTTTCAAATCCTACCCATTGGCTTTGTAGCATTCTGAAGAACTGTAGTTGATGCAAAATTTATAACCATTTTTAAAGCCATATCCTGAAGTTGTTCAGACATTTGTGTACCAACAATTTCACAAGCATGCTAGATAATGGGGAAAAAAACAATTTAGCTTCCAGAAAAAATCTAAGTATAAAACTAACTATGAACATAATAATTTACCAGTAACACAGTAACTAATCCAGTTTCCATGCTTTGCATACTCATCTTGCCACGTTCTGATTGCGGAAGATATTCAAACTATCATGGATTTTCAAATTTCAAAATAAATAAAATGAAGGAGTAATAATAGATAGAACATTTAATATTACTAACAGTTGCACTTTAAGAAAGTGCGATTTAATATGACAGGTAAAGGATACGATAGTGAAAACACGTCTTAAAAATTTTGCAAGCCATTCCTCAAATACTGCAGTACTAGCTTTACACAAGGCATCTTCTTCTTCGACGTTAGTTTCCATTCGATCTTCTTCTCTTTCATCAATGTCCATTCCCTCCCATCTGAATTCAGACTCTGTTATACTACTACCTTCAGTCAAATCTCTTAAAGGAACGCCCATTACGGCGTGTGTAAGAAAAATAAGAGACGAAATTGTTTTTATTGGATCATTCATGTCAATCCCGGGGATTGTTAAATGAAGAAGCGGGGCAAGATGTTTTCCACCGGCAGGATAATGGGCGCGAGAAAAAAGTGGAATTGCAAGAAGCGAAAGAGCTGAGATGGATGATGTCGTTCTATGGGTCTAACAATCATGTATATATTTGTTTATAAACTGAAATATCTACTATAGTGATAGCTGTAAATTTGTTTTGGTACCTACCTCAGTTAGAGTTTCTAAGGATGGATAAACACGTCCTAACAACCCCGGAAATATTAACGAAGGTTCTAACCCTGCAAAAAAATTTAATGCGTAACCTCTGTTAGGGAAACAAACGTTATGTACGATGATTGCTAATATTTTATTTCACTAATAAAGCATACAAGCTAAATATTTTAATGCAGCTTGACTTGATCCAACGGATAACGGGTCCTTGCCAAACATTGACAAGAAAGTAACTCCTCTAAGAATAAGAACAAATTGTCGTTTAAGGTCGGGTGTCAAACGCCGTGATTCGGAAGTTTTACATTCCGGCTTGTGTTCTATACGAAAGAGAATGATTTATAGGATTATCATAAAACTACCGCATAAAAATCTTGGTAAAAAAAAAAAACCATTCATAAACCATATTTATAAACCATAAATACCATCAGTCCATCGTTTTAAGAATTCCCATCCAAGGAATTGTAAAAATCTTACAATAGAGAAGGTCCATCGTCCAAAATTACTTGGATGATAATACGATTCAGTGGCTTGGATCATATTCGCTAAATACGTAAGAATTGATTTCTCTTGGGTATTATTAGAAGGCGGAAAAATAGAATACACAATAAATCTAGCTAGCATTTTGAATTTATCCTATGCACATGTTAAATTAAAAAATTGTTTGGAAATCATTTACAAAGAAAGGGTGTTTAAAAATGTTAACTAAATAAAACCTACCCCCTTTTTCTTTAAGAGCATAGCGCTGCCTGTTCTAAGATCCATTCTTGAAGGTAATCCTGTCATTGATCCGCCTCTTCCAGAGTTGTTATTACCGTTGGTGGTACTACCCACTGGTAGATCCATCATTTTTTGACCAGTTGCAAATACGGTTTTAACTTGTGCTTGAGTAAAAATACCTATCTGGTCTGGATTATTAACTTCAACACCAACATTATCTTCAGCAACACGAGCAACGAGATCTATAAACTCTATTTGATACATCAATGATCCTGGGATAAGGTACCAAAATGAAAATATAGTAGGTAACCATTTAGAAGGAGATGACTTTGAAGACGGCGCAGTTGGAAGGAATCGAACGAGATAAGCTTGTACTGTGAATGCATCCCCAGCAGAATTGGCATTGAAAAGAGGGAGGACTCGAGAAAGAATTTCATCTGTAGCTTCTGGAGGAAAAAATCTGAAATATTTCAAATTCATTACCCCTTCAAGTATGGTAAAACCCTTCTTTAAATCTGTTTAATATCTTACCTTTGTGCATATTCTACCAGACGTACCACAGATCCAATTTGTTTACTGATGAAGATTCTGTGAATTAAGGACTAGTTTCGAGTAATTAGGATTAATGTGTGGTAAGAAAAATTCTCAGATAGGATACGATTCACTGACTAAAGTTTTCTGTCGACTTTTTGGGAAAAATGTTCGATGAATGATATCATATAATGGTTCCCATGGTAACGTTAAATCTTCTGGTCCAATTTTGTCTTTTTTCCTTCGTTTATTAATAATGAAGAGTATAAATATAATAATTTCTTAATAGTTATAGTAAGTGAAAAGTAACCAATCGTTCATACTTGAGTAAGCGTATACAAGTATTTGCAAAAACCTCAGCATGAGATGCGTCAATTCCAGGTGTAATAACGAGTTCAAAAAGAACGTGGGCCAGTTGAGCGCGAGTTTGGCGTGATAATGGGTGCTGAAGATCAAGATAACTAGAATATGATTTGGAATTTGTTGAAGGTTGTCACTCAATTCTTGGCTATAAGGAAATTCAACTAGGTATCTTACCTATTAAGCTGTTTTACCCAGTAACTGCAGCCTGGACCCCAATCTTGCGCCTTAGCCGAGGAACATAAGCGCTCTACAATGACGTTTAATAAAGCTTCGGCCTCGCCCTCCAAGGCGATCGCATAAGGAAGATTTTCTGAAAACATTCGTGTTGATATCGAGACTTAACACGAGGCAAGAAAATTTTTATATTGATCGGAACTTCAACGTGACCTTATAAAAATCTGACGTAACCGTAACATACGTACGTACGTACGTATCTGGTATGTACTGTACTTACGTACGTACGTACGTACGTACGTACATACTTACGTCTATGTTGACGTATTCGATAACAATTTGGCTGCTGATCATTGTATTTCGGCTCTGTCTTAACCTTGACTCATCTTTCCTTTCCGGTTAATCTGGTTCTAATTCTAACGCTAATGAAGATTTGTAATACGTTACCTTGTTTCTTGCGTACGTACGTATGTACGTACGTACGTATCTGTTTGAAATCATGAATTAACAATGATATTGATATTATATCATAATTGTTGAATTCAGGGTTGGGCAATCGGACAAGTGGGTTGCCGATGATATTTAAATTCTAAAATTGTTATCGAATACGGGGATCAGTATGGTATAACTGACCGGATCAGTATGGTATAGATGTGATTTTATCAAACCGTACTATGCATAATTTTGGTCAGCGCTAACCCTAAATTCTAAGGGGTGTGACAAATAATCAAAACAGTATACGGGGACCCCACAGCAAAAGGGCAGTGGGCCAAAAATTTCAATTTGTAATTTATATATCTATTTAATTTTTGAGATATTGTATTTTTAAAAAAAAAATTTTTTTTGTCTACTGCTTTTTTGCTGTGGGGTTTCTTAGGGATTGGAACCGTTTAACCGTTTAAAAATTGTTCCATAATTCCGGCAGAATTTTGTTGGTCGTGGGCCGGAATTATCTTAATGCTGGCCAAATTAAACGGTTAAACGATTAAACGATTAAGAAAAATTTTAGGCGGTTTCAATCCCTACATAAAATCAAATCTATACTATACTGATCTGGTCATCTATACTATACAGCAGTGTTATCATAGGACAGTTGCGGACAGTAAGTTGAACATTTTGAACAATCTTAAATAATTAAATAAATTATTTAAAATTTTATTAAGATAACCTATATTATTGTAAATTCTTGAATAATGCCCAGAGGTGAAATTATGAAATTCGGTCTAAGTTAAGCTTAATTCAGGCCAAAACCCAAAATAATATCCATGCTTGTTATTTTGAGAATTTACAATATTTTTATTTTTAGTATTTTTATTATTATTATTATTAACTAGTCTTTTTGAATTAAGGTTTTTATTTAAGTTTAAATGAGAAGGCTTATGACTTTAGTTTTAATAGAGTTTCTTATATATTAGAAAGTATAACTAGCTATACATACAATTTTAGTTGCTTATTTTTTTTTTTTTTTTTTTTCACTTTGGCAAGATCACATCAGTGATTATGTTTAATTAAGTTCAATCTTGTAAAAGATTACAAATATATCATTATTAATATTAAAGCTGAGATCCTAATATCCTACAGCTACTTCATAACTAACTGTATGGTTACCTATATAGTTACTAGAATGTCTATTAGTAACCTGTCATACTGGTGAGATAAAACCTATAAGGTAATAACCTAACTGGAAGGCTCATCTGACCTACTGTTCTACAATAGAATACCACCAATTTGATGACATTTTCTCATAAAAAAGTGAAAAAAAAAAAGAAAACTAATCTAAAAAAAACACAGAGGTATAGAGGAATTCGATAAAAGATATAAACAAGAAATTAAAGGTGTAAAAGGAAAATAAGAAAAAGAAAAATAGAGGCTTTCGCCTATGCTAGATGATCACAATTATAAGCCTGTATTGAGCTTTGTAAAAATTACATACTATTATTGTATCTAAACTAGTCTTTACTCTAATTTAACTAATTAGTATATTTAAGTGAAAACTTAAAAGAAAAAAAAGTTCTTCGACATTAGCATTTTACTTTAGCACTATAAGCTCTCCAGCTTCTTTTGTTTAAACTCCTATAAAAGCATAAATAAAAGCACACTTCAGACACTATAGAGAAGTCAGAAATTTGCACAGTTGGTCTCAAAGCATTGTTTGTCTAAGTTGCCACTTTCAAAGCACATAATCTATATGTTCATATTCTATAAATATCCACATATTTGTTGTAACAGGAAAAAGTAAATAATGCCAACCAATTTGGTAAGTAAACAATATGTCAATCTTTTGGAGAGGTAAGCTAAATCGCCTACTTTTTTACAAAATTTTTATCGAAAAAAAAGTAGAGAGTCAACAAGAATATATGAGGATCTTCTTGTAAGTTTTACAGTTGTATAGCCCAGTTTTTAAGTATCTACTTAATATTCTTGTCCAGAAACTTTGCTTTACTTGCTTCTAGAATAAACCTTCTAGTTTGGATACCGAACATACAAGGGAGTCTGTCGAAAAGAAAAAAACTTGACTCAAGACACAAACCACCTAATATTCTTATATCCCACTCCTCAGTATTTCATGTATTGTAGGCTTCATCAACAACAAGTTTGCTTAGCACAAAACTAAGAATATTGCTGTGTCCACTATGTCTCTTTTCTATATCACTAACTGTAGTTCAGTAAATTGTTATTGACCAAGCAATCGTTAGAAAGAGTTGATTTTAAAAATCTTGATTGCTTATTTAAGTAGTCTGTATATAGAGAATATATTATAGGTTTTATACTAAATATTATATTGTATTTATAATCTGACTAGAGGTTATTTATTTAAATTCTCTATAATGCAAACTTTTTTTTTTTTTTTTTAACTTTAACTAGCCTCTTTGGGATTAAGGTTTTTATTCAGGTATTTGCCGAGTAAGGGGCTCATCCCAACCCCATACATTAGAGAGTACATACTAGCCATACCTGCGCCTTTTGAGCGCCTAATTAAGT